AAAAAAGATTCCTTTTATAATAATTTAGTGGATATTAGTACAAAGAGGAGTGACAACGTAATGAAAAAACAAATCAATACTACAAATCAAATTTCATTCTTCATTAAGATTTCATTTTGTAGCTCTTTAAACATCTGTTAAAAGTAAAGTAATAAAAAAAAACCCAACATTTCCAGTACGTTTAAGACATGTATCATAGCATATTACACTTACTCAACTTTCAGTTTATTTTCTGCCAATATGGAGGAAAATGACATTTTGAATTAGCTAAAGAAATTGGTCACAGCTTTGGAAAATTAAACAAATGTTTGAATAAGTGTTGAAAATTTCTTATCATGATTAACAGTGCTTTTCGATTATGCATCTTGTATAAGATTTTTGCAGCAAGCATACGATAATCAAAAAATTTCAAATGGAAATTAAAAAATAAAATAAACGTATGTATATGCATAATGTGAAAGTATGTATGTACATAGTGTGAGGTAATAAAAGTTAAAAGTAATTACGATTTATTCTTTACTTGCTAGCGAAGAGTGCCTGCCTTTCCTATATTCTTTCCTGATTCCTGTATTCATGGCAACCGCATCATCGTGATATTTTCCAGCCTTTCTGGCGCTAGACACTGCCTTTCAGGATCGTTTCATTTTACACCTACATCGATAAGCCATTATTCTTTCACTCCTTCTTTTTTTTCTTCAATTTTTCAAGTTAATGGAAATATTAAAACCGAATGTTAATATCAAAATTTTTCAACCAATCATTGCATACTTCAATTTTGCTAGCAGCAAAGCAAATATTTATGATACGATATTTGTAGGATGAAAGAGCAATAAATGAGTTTTAATAATTCAGAGCATCATCATTATTTTTATTAATTTTTCAGATAAAGTTGAAATGAGGGAAATTATTCATATTCAAGTTGGTCAATGTGGCAATCAAATCGGAACTAAGGTTTGGTTGATTGGAACAGTTTTCAGATAATAAGTTAAACCAGAAATAAATCTGATCTTTTCAGTTCTGGGAAGTAATTTCGGATGAGCACGGTATCGAGCCTGACGGCACTTATAATGGTGACTCGTCGCTACAATTGGAGCGTATCGATGTATATTTCAAAGAAGTGGAAGGTTTTTCTCTTTTTTACTTGAAACAAAGGATAAGTTAAAATAGCAAGATCACGTATCAGTTTCACACCTGCCGTCATTGCACTATTAATCTTTGATTTATTGTAGCGAACATAGAGAAGAAGCAAGCACGATAGTTAACTTATTCAAATTATTACTCCATCACTTCAACAATCTATTTCATTTCATCTAATTTATGCAAAAAAAAATCGAGTACTATCACCATGGCTTATAACAGAATTGTAAATGAAAAATTAGAAATTAAATCTCAGGCAAAAAATACGTACCACGTGCAGTATTGGTCGATCTGGAACCAGGAACCATGGATTCAGTGCGTTTCTCGACCTATGGAAAGCTCTTTCGTCCCGACAACTTCGTGTTTGGTCAAAGCGGTGCTGGGAACAACTGGGCTAAGGGTCATTACACCGAAGGAGCTGAACTTGTTGATGAAGTGTTGGATGTTCTCCGAAAAGAAGCTGAAAGCTCTGATTGTTTACAGGTATAGAAGCAATCAGTGCTAATTTTGCCTAAATATAGAAATCCTGAATAAAGGGTTTCTGTTGCAATTTTCATGATAATAATGAAAAATGCTCTTGTAGGGTTTCCAATTAACTCATTCTCTGGGAGGTGGCACAGGTTCTGGAATGGGAACGCTTCTTATCGCGAAAATACGCGAAGAATATCCGGATCGCATCATGTCATCATTTTCCATATTCCCGTCGCCCAAAGTAAGTTGTTCAATTCCACATTTTTTCACTGCTTTTCTCTAAGTGTTAAAAGTAACGTTAAGCGAAATGGATCATAAAGAAAGGTTGAGTTTAAATTTGAACAGCTTTATTGAATATCTTAAACACACAATAAAAGACTACTCGATATCTTTGGATTTGATAATCAATTTGATGTTAAGTTCTTCATACTAAGTTAAATGACAGGTATCGGATGTTATTATCGAACCATACAACGCAACCTTGTCCGTGCATCAACTTGTAGAAAGTACAGATGAAACATTTTGTATTGACAATGAAGCGCTCTACGATATTTGTTTACGCACCCTGAAACTTACTGGACCAACTTATGGTGATCTTAACCATTTAGGTAAGTTTTGAACTATTTTTTTAGTCATATATACCACGGATCAAGAATCCTGCAAAAGGTTTGGTCTGAAATCAGAAAATAATTTAAGTAAACATAGCAGGACGACATAATTGCGCGTTACATAGAAGAGAAGTCGAAATTGTTGGATGATACCGAAGTGTAAATTAAAATGGTTTATCTTTCCTAATTTGAAAAGATGGGAAAGATTTGAGAATAAGATCAATAAGAAATATTCATAAAAAAAACGTAACAAAACAAAATGGCGAATAATGACCAGTGTTTAGTATCAATGGCCGTTTCTGGAGTAACAACTTGTCTACGATTTCCTGGTCAATTGAATGCTGACCTGCGTAAACTAGCAGTCAACATGATTCCGTTCCCAAGACTTCACTTTTTTATGCCCGGTTTTGCTCCGTTGACTGCTCGTAATACTGCTGCATATAGGTCACTCAAAATCAATGAACTGATCCAACAGGTTGCTTTCAGAAGCATTAGGTCAAAGTTCATAATATTACCCCATTAATTTTATTTCATAATGTTTCCCTTATGCATTGTTTTAAAGTTAGGTTGAGGTGCACAATGCACAAATACCTGGGCTTTCTCCTTTCATAATAAGTCTCTTCTTTTTCGTTTCAACACTGGTGCTTCAAAAATGTGAGGAAACCGCTTTCGTGTGAGTTAATCATTGATCATATTCGAATATCGCTTGAAAAACACACCAAATTCATCTGCATCAAATGAAATGGATAGATGAAATGATTATATAAAAATTTAATAACTTTACGAAAAAAGAAATCTCTGCAAAATTTTGAGATTTTTAGAAGTTCTTCAATTGATATCCGATTTAAAATGCTCAAGAATTCTATTGTAGTTGTTTGACGCACGCAATATGATGACCGCTTGTGACCCAAGACATGGTCGCTATTTGACTGTTGCCGGAATGTTCCGTGGACGACTATCGATGCATGTCAGTAAATAATTTATATAAAATTACAATATCGTTTAAGCCATCATTGAAATGTCAGCAGATCATGCTTTTCAGGAACTAGAAACTCAAATTTTAAATGTTCAAAACAAGAATTCATCTTACTTTGTCGAATGGATTCCAAATAATATCAAGACAGCAGTTTGTGACATACCTCCGCGTGGGACCAAGATCAGTGCTACTTTCCTCGGAAACACTACCGCCATCCAAGAAATATTCATCAGAATCACTGAACAATTCGAAGGTCATTTTTTTTCTGAAATAATTGCACACTTTGTGCAAATTTATTTGATTTTATTTTGGATCATAAGGGGAAAGTTTCAAATTTGGATTCCAAAATTAACGCAATATAATATTTTGCTGGCGTTTTATAGCGATGTTTCGGCGTAGAGCTTTTTTGCATTGGTATACGGGGGAGGGAATGGATGAAATGGAATTCACAGAAGCGGATAGTAATATGAAGGATCTGATTTCGGAATATCAGCAATATCAGGATATGCCGGATGATGAAGATTCAGATGGAGCGATCGATGAGCTGGAACCAGACGATGATAAGAAACAACAAAATCAAGAGTAAATATCCCATCCGTGATATCATTATTCCAGAATACTACTTTTATGTTAAAAGCATATCTTTACTGCAAATTATATGTATAATTTGTATTAAAAACATGAATAAACTTATTAAAGCCATTAACCACAAGCTACTCAGTGAAATTAATTCATCTATAAGGAATCAAGCAGAGCATTAGCACATATGGCAACATTACTAATATTTCATTAATACTGATTTCAAGCCTTAAAAGAAATTCTCATCCCTTCCATTTCTGCAATGCCGAAGTGACGATGAACGATCTACGCTTAATCTCGACATTTAAATCAGAAGAAAACAAATAATACATATTTCCACGTCGATGCATAATTCATTTCTATTTATAAGCTCAATTATCGAAGTTCATTCATTTGAGCAAAAGAGTAACCAAAAGAGTTGAATTCTTTCCACAACGGGAACTGCTTTCGGAAGTGTCCATGAAAGTTTGAGAGGAGATCACCCTATGGCAATATTCCGGTATATCGCTTCGTCGAGAGAAAAAGAGAAATGAACAAAGGGAGTTGTATCGGTGCATTAACAATGTCAACTTATCTGGCCTTATCGAACTGAAAGACAACTGCAGATCTAACATAACATTTGTTGCTGTTTTTTGAAATAATTAAACATTTTGGTAGCAAAATTGTTCTCCCACTTTGATACAATCCATAAAAGCTTTCCTTAATTAAAATTAACGACTTTAAATGCCACCCGACGTGGACTGTACAGACTAGCACGACTAAATAGGCAAGAAGTTTCCCGACCCTTACTTGTTGTAAAAACTTGGAAAAAGGACAGAACAGCGCATGAAAGGGCATGTAAATAAAGAAATAATTTAACAAAAAAACATAGCAATGGGCGAATG